ATTCGTTAACACACTCAATATTGACACTTGCACTTTCACCACAGATTTTAAAAAAACCTATAGAGTATTTATTTTTCCAACTCTCGAGCCAACCGTTAGATGCTTTGAATTCATCCAGCCCAAGCTCGGTGGCGAATTCAATAGCCTTTGCCTGGATTAACGGGCCACTTAGCGGTATATTTTTTGCCCTAGCTTGTCCAAACCATTTGAACACCAATTCATTTAATTCAAAAAACTTTGACCCAGATGTAAATCGTTTTCTCTTGGATGAAATGTTTCCTTCATATTGTTCCATTAAAAAAGTCTTACGTTTCAAAATGTCCGATACTGTGGTACGTCCAACTCCGAATTCTTTCGCAAGCTGTTCTTGTGTTGGTTTTGGAAACGACTCTGATTTTTTTATTAATTCAATTTTTTTTTCCAATCCCAAATCAATTCTTTTCCTTTTAGGAGAAGGCGACATTTCACATACCAGTTTTCTTTTCTGAGGCGTTGACGCCATTTTCGTGTAAGAATAATACCAACAAAGAAATGGATTTGTCTTTTTTTAATTTGAGTTTTAATCAATTATTGTGTACATAAACAAAACACCTGCAAACTTCAACATGAATCACTGACTACATTCTCAGCTGACCAATTGACCAAACGGGACTTTAAAATCACAGCTGGGACCCGTAATTGGCCAGCGGCTAATTATGATATACCTACCTGGGGTTTAACCAGCCGTGTAATTATGTCGGATAACACAGGTGAAACTGCAATGCAATTAATAGGCTGTGTTTACAAAGAGGTGTCGGAATTCGGAATGTACAGTGGTCGGATTGTAAAGTATTTTTCTATATAAGTTATATAAAGATTTTTTGGGGAATAAAGATTTGCGTCGGAAGTGCCAGTGTGCCGGATTGCACAGTTGTCGGATTGGACAGTGGGCACTGTATTTTGATATGGTTATCGACTTGAAATGGGTTCTTTAGCATCTTATTGATCTCATGAAAACTTTATTTTGTTCAAGTCATGTTTTATTAGATGAGCAGAAAACTTTATAGTCCATGTACAGGTAAGTGATTTTATACGGCAAGTGAAGAAGAATTCTATATGCGTACGCGTATAACACGTATAACTGAAATTAACTGGATAAGAATAATATACTTAGCTAAATTGAATGTTAAACTTTGTTGAAATAAGATTTTTAACGTATTCTCTAGCTGGATGTCATACAGATTATTCAGAGACAACTTTCTTCCTGTGTTTAGTGTAAAGAACAAGACGGGAGAGAGGAAAAATATTTTTAAGTATTAATATTCAATGTAGCATTATTTATTTAAAAAAAAAATTCAAGCTTAAGATAATTCACTGTCATTCAATTCATGCATCGTGAATTTTCCTTGGACCCTGAAAGTTTCGTGTGTACAGTGTGCGTGTTTTGTGTGTACAGTTATCACATGGTTATGAAACCCGTTTATCGATCGCGCATTGACCTGTATACACATTACCGCTCTTTGATTTTTACTAGAGTCCTAGATTTAAGATCAAGAAAACATGTCATTTGCGCTAATCGTAAGAATATTTCTATACACAAATTTTAAGGTTTTCTTGAACATGATTTAAAAGTGTTGAATGTCGGATTCTATTCTTTGACGAATGAATAAAAGGTGCTGCGTTTACGCGCGCTTTTCTCATCTGCTGAGGTATCTATGGACGAGTTCATCGGTTACACTGAAGGGTGACACAGGATGACCTATCGATAACTCTGCCAATTTTGATAGTGATTTTAATTGCACATGTACCATAAACATGATAAATTAATGTTCAATTCTACCCTTGTTAAGTCCATTATAGTCTCGTTATTTAAAAAAAAAATTGGGGATATCAATACTGCAACTTGTTTTTGATTTGTGCGGATGATTCTATTATTGGAAAGGTACACACGTAGTACGACGATTTTTTAGGCCCCGTCTCCCCCTCCACTTTGAAGTAATTACAATCGTTACATGTATACGGGCCTATATCAAGTTATTCTAATTGCTTTATATCAGAAAAATTTGCGATGTTGTTTAAATTAGCAAATACATATAAACATTGCACAGTAAATTGTAAGTGGAAGTGACGTTTCCAATTCTCATGAAAATCGTAAATGAAGCAACTTTGAGTTTTGCATGAATTGATACATAACTTATTATTGCATTGTACCGAATGTATTCCTTTTATTTCCTCGAATAAAAAGAATATCACTATGACACGATTTTACGGGTACATGATGGTAACTAAATACATGCTGTTTTACACGGAGGAGCCCCCAAAATATATACATTCCGAGCTTTCAGAATACGAGAGAAAAAAATGAATAATTAGAATTTTTTTTTAACAAATTCAAAATTGTTTCTGAGAAAGCCATGTAGTTGCATACAAATATTTCAAGCCATTCTTTCGTGTTTATTGGACTAAAAGAGATAATTAAATTTCCTCTCATCGCGATACGTAACCCCCCTTCCCTCAAATGATACGTTTCCCTTCAGAGTCGAGAATGTCAGTTGGTTAGTTTGTTCAGGTACGTACAGGTCAGGACTGGTGTTGAAATCCATGATTAATCCATAACCTATTATAATGTTAACCAACAATCATACGCGACTTTTTTTTTATTCACAGGTCGTGAAATAAATGAAAAAAAGATTAGTATGCGTCACTAAACTTTCCTATATATAAGTGTTTTAATTTCTAAAATTTGTGCCGATTAAAGTGTTCATTCGAGCATCGAAGTTTGTAAATGTATTAGTTTCTTTGGGTACGGGGGGGGGGTTACCAGTTTTTACTGCGTTTGATTTCCGGAATTTAATTTGCAATGCTTTTCCGACACTTAATAATTTCATTTCTAACATTCATTATTTTCATTCTGGATTTTTACACTATATTTCAAGCTATTTAAAGTCAACAAAGAAGACGGAATCATTATTTTAATAGAATATATTTGGTTAAATTAACACAAGTGAACTTGTGATGAAAATTTATTAAACGAAAGTCAAGCAATAAAAAGTTTGTTTTTTGAAAAATAAATCAAATCAAGTCACAGAAAACAAAGACAGGCTGTAAAGCGCACACACCGACACACACACAAACGTTTTGGTAACTCGGAATAGTCCAGAGTAAAACTATATTTTCTTGATGACAGAATGTCCAGTACATCTAATGTTCACGTCCGAGATAGTCCACGGCGGATCTAAAAACTCTCTCACACAACATACGGGATTCACTCAAATTTCAATTAACACATTTACGCAATTTATATCATACATACAAGTCAGACGCTCTTTGATGTAGAGGATTGACACTAATTCCTTAGATAAATACTTAGTGACAAATTCCTTTTTACTATTTAAACTCAAATTGATAGATTTATAACTTAAGCATATGTCAAAAATAAGCATTGAAAATAATTCTTTTCATAAAATTAAATTTTGTTTAAACAATATAAATCACTAGCAGCGCAAAGACAGACTTTTAAAAAAAAATCAGAGGTGGAATCAGGCGAATTAAATCCTTTTATGGCACTACCAACCCCGTAACGAGACATCTCATCGAAATGACCGGTCTCCACGTCTTGAACCTCCAAGAACATGTATTGCATGTTCTTGAATAATATGTATTAATAAGTCTTTAAGGAAATCTCATGTAGGAAACCTGATTTATATTCTAATATATTCTAATTTTTTTTTTAATTATTCGTACTTCTCAATCTATCATGTTCAAACTACATGTATTTATTTTTTAGGGAACATTAAACCTTATTCGTCAGCCAGTCTGTCCATCTGTCACGAAATCTTTAAACTTGATAATAGCTACATGTATTGAATGAGTTGAAATAAGACTTTGATATTTCACATGTGCATTATTCGTGACATCTGATTTTCAAATATACTGTGATTTTTGACCCTGTGACCTTGATCTTGACCTACTTAAAAAAAAATAACATTACTTTAAATTGACCATAACTTTATAAAAATGTATTAACTGTGACAACACCTTTTAAAATTCACTGATATTTTACCTTTTGACCTTGAAGTTTGACCTGCTTTTCAAAAACATTAACAATACTCATACCTTTTGACTGAGAAGAGATAGGGCTTTTATTTTATCCCTACGAATTACCTATGACAACTCTTTTCTAAATACACTGACTTTTGACAACTTGACCTTGAGGCTTGATCATAACTTTTTTAATGAGGAGAGATAGGGCTTTCATATTACACAAACATCACAATGTCATGTACGTAACCTGTGATAAAATCATATCAAATACTAGTATATCATGAACTTTGACCTTGAAGTTTATCCGGCTTTTCCAAAATTTAAACATTGCTTAAAATTGACCACAACTTTTTACACATGTATAGTAGCTGTGACAAGGCCTATCTAAAAACAGGTATGGCTTATATCATGGAGAGTGTGTTATGGCCTTGAATCAAGGTCATTTAGGATAAGATATTTTGACTGGATGCATTGTTTGAAAAAAACCTGTGTGAATTTGTCAATACAGTAGCACACAAATGGGGTATACTCATCACCATCTTGTGTCATGGTGTGACCCAAGGTCATTTTGACAAGGTCAAGGTCGCAAACATTCCTTTACTATCACTTTCTTAATAGTAAAACATTATAAGATGATATCTACCCTTAAAAGATTGCTTTATCATTAGAACGTGGCATGACCTTGACTCAAGGTCATTTCTCTCTGTCCGTAGCTCCGACGGAAGACCTACTCGTTGCTTTGCAACGAGCTCGGCTCTAGTTTTTTCATTCACTATAAATAAGCTATCGGCGGAAGAAACAAAAATAAAACTTGAAGTAGAGACTTTTATTTTCATTTCATTTTAGCCCAAATTAAGGTCGGCGCTCCCGTAAAACAGTAAATAAAAACAATTTTTCATTCATTTGTATGCATTGTGACAGGACCTTTAAATCTATTAATTTACCCAAGATACTGGTTATAAATAGACCAGGAAGACTGAAACCCCACGGTTGCAAACAAATGACAGCCATGTTGGAAAAATACCTGTAATGTGTAAGTTTCCATCTTTCTTTTTGTAGTTTAAATTTATTTTCTTTGCTCAGTCTCTGAAATTGTTTTTTTTTAAATGTTTCATTTTCTTTTGTCTTTTTTCCCCTTTGTTTTTATTTACTTTCTATAAAAGATAATGTTTAAGGGCCTTCTAGTACACTAGAGCAATATATTTTTGGACACTATTATATATTTTTCAAATTGGGTAAATACTGAGCTTATCTATTTCAAGTTTAACCAAGGTTTCTGGATTGTGTTCAAGATTGTAGCTGCTAGGTTGTAGATATCTATCTCTATTGAACAGACAACTAGTCTAGCTGCTAAATGTTAAATTTTGAATCAAGATATATCAATCAGTAAAGACTTGTTGTGGACACAAAAAAATTATTTCAAACAAAAACATATATGTATATTTACTATAATGTAGAAAACACCCTCCCATTTTTTGGTTAACATTTTGTGTGCAAACTTGTAACTAAGGAGGCCATCTTGGATTTGATACTAAGCACTAAATATTTATGCTAGCTCTCCCAACAAAGCAGTTAGGCTAGCTTTGCATTTTAGAATGTATCTAATTCTTTATGTAGTGGCTTGTTGCAGCTATGCTATTGAACACATATTTAACCCCAGCAAAGATAGCATATTAAAATTAACAGTAAATTTCTTAAAATTTCCCCACCATATCATAAAATATTGAAAGATAAAAGAAATGAAGGGTAGAAAATTTCTCCAGCTCACATCTGAAGTGCACAGTCATGCATACTGGTTATTTTCAAAACATATAATAAAACTCAATCTTGTATCAGTTACAAAGACAGATGTATAGATATCTACCAATCAAGATAAAGGGTCAAGCTATTAAGAAGCTGTATGTCACACACTACCATATTTCACTTGAATTTTAAAGAATTTCCATTGCTATCACCTATATTTCCCTTTCATTTTAAGAGTACATTGATCTTTTCTAGGTAGAGGCTTTCTGAGCTTTCCCAATGGACCCTCGGTACAGTGCCCAAGATGTCCTGCGTTGTGCCCTGTGTGAGACTCCTGTTCCTCCAATGTACTGTGACTTATGTCATGTCAAACTCTGTAAGGCCTGTGTAGGGGAGCATCTTTCTGATTTATCTAAAGAACATAAAGTGGTATCATACAAACAAAAGGGAACGTCACCAAAATGTCCAACTCATGGTGGAAAACTGTGTGAACTTTACTGCAAGGAATGTGACCTTCCTGTTTGTTCGTTCTGTCTGACATCTAATTTCCACAAAGGACATACTTTATTGAATTTACTGGAGATAATGAAAACCAAACAAAAGGCCATACAAAAAGATGTTGATGAATTATCTAATTCAGTTTGCCCTAAATATGAAGAAATTTTTGCAGAGATACAGAGAGAAAAATCAAACCTAGAAAAACAATACAAGAAACTGACAACAGCTGTCACCAAACATGGAGAAGACTGGCACAAAGAATTAAACATTATTGTCAACAAACAGAAAAATGAAATTGATGAGATGAAAACTAAACACCTGGCTATACTTAATAAACAGGAAAATGAAATCAAACGACTCATTTCTGAAGTAAAGCAGTGCATACTTGATCTGAAAAAAACAATGGATTCCAATGACGTCTCCCAAACCTCCGCATACAAATCAAGGAATGCTGAATTCAAAATATCACCTCCCAAAGTCACCGTTTCTTTACCGAGTTTCTCTCCACATCAAATCAAAGGAGAACAGCTCCATCAAATGTTTGGTTCTCTGTCAGCATTATCCATTACAACAGAAGAACATGGCTACACAATGGAGACACCAGAAGCTGTATCCTGTCCTCCAGTCAAACCACTGCTTGATAAACCAGAGCTCATCACCACCATAGACACTGGGTATAAATATCTAAACAGTGTTAACTGTCTCAGTGATGAAAAAATCTGGACACGAGGGTCTGACAAAATCATGAAACTTTATAACATCCAGGGCAAACTACTGAAGTCAATCCAAACCAAGTCAGGGAACATACCACATGACATAGCAGTGACAAGCAGTGGAGATCTAGTTTATACTGATGAAAATACAAGAACTGTAAACATAGTGAAGAATGACCAGATACAGGAAGTGATCAGACTACAGGGGTGGAAACCTTACTATGTCTGTAGTACCTCCTCTGGTGACCTCCTGGTTACCATGTACAGTGATTATAAACAATCAAAAGTTGTCCGTTACTCTGGTTCCAAAGAGAAACAAACCATTCAGTTTGATAGTAAAGGTAAACCTCTGTATTCATTTGAAGATATTAAATACATCAATGAGAACAGGAACCTGGATATCTGTCTGGCTGACAATAGAGCCCGTGCAGTAGTGGTGGTTAGTCATGCAGGAAAACTGAGATTTAGATACACTGGTCATCCCTCTCCTACCAAGGGACCATTTAGTCCAGTTGGAATCACAACAGACAGCCAGAGTCAGATCCTGACAGCAGACTGGGACAACAAGTGTATCCACATCCTAGATCAGGACGGACAGTTCCTCCGTTATATTGATAACTGTGATTTACAGTTTCCATGGGGTTTATGTGTAGACACCAGAGACAACCTCTTTGTAGCTCAGTTTAGCAGTGGTATAGTGAAGAAAATCAAATACATGTATTAATTTTATTACCTGAACTCTTTGTGATGGATATTATCATGGAAGTGTTAAAGACAGGGGATATTAACTTGTTACCTTTCAATTCCTTACACAAAATAATGCCTTATCAACAATTAAAGATAGGAAAAGTATGCCTATATAAATATTTTGAATGGTCTCATTATACACTTTGAATCATCCAATCTTAATTTAAAAGTTTTTTTTTAAAGTTTGGGTTAAAAATAGCCATTTGCTTCATTACAAAATCAATCCAATTATTTCTTTTTAAAATGTGTAAAAATTGTTTCCATTTTCGACAAGAAGTTTCTTTGTCAGTTTCAGCATGATAAAAAATAAATAACTAGAATTTAAAATTGACTGTAAATAAAATGTTTAAACATCTCAATATACATGCATGTAGTTATAAGTGAAGATTGAATTACCACTGGTACAAGTAGGGCAGCACTCTCCAGGTCGTGTGATGGGATTCTGACAGAAGACGTCCGGACAAGCGGTCTTACTGCACTGCACGTCACCATGACGACAGGCACACCGGGTACAGGCATCCAAGTCAAACCGGCTTCCATCCTCATATCTCTGGCCATTGTAGTAACAGGCTGTAACGAGAGTTTATAAACAATGAAAGCTTATGTTTTTCAATATCTAGCAAAAAGCTATCATCTTCAACTCCTACATTATAATCCAATGTTGTAGCATTTTTTGTAAAGGCTGTAACTGTATGAACATGTATTTCATTAGATTTGTATCAAAATATACAATGTATCTTTAATTCGTTAGATTTGAATTAAAATTTACATTTACTATGTATCTTTGCTTGCTTCCAATGTGGAAGAGATCAATTGACTACAAGGGAAACTTACAGACACAGGTGGGGCAGCATTCCCCTGGTGGGGTATAAGGGTATCTACAATCTGGGATACCACACTGGATCTCTGAACACTTCACTTCACGATTCTACAAAATAAGTATCCATGGAAAGTCAATTTTAATTCCACTGAATTCTTAAGTACAAGTGATTTTTAATTTTTTTTTTTTTTTTTTTAAATAAATAAATGTCTTATATACAATCTTTTTCATTTTCCTTGTATTTATCAATTTTTGCTCTGTTGGAAACATAACAAGTCACTAACACAGTTAACTTACAATACAACTACACTTTTGACATGGTCCCTGCATCCACATTGAGGCGTTGGCATAATTCCCACAATCCATACAGGTGGGACAACAGTCGCCAGGTAACGTCATACTGCTCTTACACTTCCCCAGGGCGGGACAGGGGCGCTGTCGACAGCTGACATCACCACGATTACATACACATTCACTGCAGGGGGAGGAATCAGGTGAAAACATGACCCCAGGTTCATATATCCTGCCCTCAAACTGACATCCACCTGTAAATATTGAGTATATTTAAAGTATCAGTATTACAAAAATTACCACCATTTTCTTTTTGCCCAATCAAACATTTAGAAACAGGCAAAATTTATCACACTTTAAAACAATTGAGCAATAAAATCCTGGACATGTAAATAATGTTCAGAAGTATTCTGTTCTGTTCAAAAATGATTTACCTTCACAGGAAGCACAGCACTGGCCTGGGATTTGAACTGGGTTTCTACAGGTAACAGCTGGACACAGAGTTGTGGAACACTGCACCATACCATCCTATATATAATGATCAATAAAATATACAGCACCAAAACAACTGTCTAGTTCACAAAGAATTCAGCTTATTTTTTCAAATTTACTTACAGTGGCTGGAGCGTTATTGTTGACAATCCTATCGTGTAGAATCGTTCGTGTATCGTGAGTCATCGTTCGTGTAACGTGGAAGATCGTTCGTGCATCAGACTCAATCGTGTGCGTTTTTAATCGTGCGAGATCGTGCGTTTAGAATCGTGTAAATTTCGTTTTGTAAGTTTTTATCGGAATGTTATTTGTAAAATAAGCATTTCCCTTGTTTGTTTTTCTTAATTTATTAATTAAAATCCAAATAAAATGAGAAGCGCAATTTACATAATAGACTAGAATGCAGAACGAACTAATTATCGCCCGTAAACAAGCAATATAATAAGTCGTACAATATTAAGTTCTCGTCCAATAGCGCGATCAATATTGTGATAAACCGTACTTAGATCTTTAACGCCTTTTTGACAAATCTGATTTTAATAATTAATTAATTAATAATTATTATTTACTTCTTAATGTGGTCAAGATAATCTTGAAATCAATTCATTGAAAATAAATATATATTATTTTTTACAAAGAAAGAAACATTACTCAATGCTTACATAACTAGTTAGTCGACAAATATACATGGACATGGCATGATTTTCGGGAGTTTCAGTTATCTGTGTTTATGTCTTGAGCCTATTTGTAATTAATTAATTTTAAATTTCTGCAAATAAAAAAGTTGAATAATTGGCAAGTTTATCATACACTGAATCATTGGAAACATAAGGTTAAAATTTGTAATTATGATTTAAGTCATTCCATGCTGCCATTTTTGTTCAATCGAATCCCCCTTTCCGCATATCATGATATTCAATTCAATTAAATTATACGACCCACATACATGTTCATCGTCTAACAGAACGAACAAAATCCGTTTTTTTTGATCGGAGAATTACCTTAGAAATAATTATTTTAAATCTAAAATATTAAGTCTTGCATATATTTAGTTACAGAAATATCATTTTCCGTTTTTTTCTTCAAAGTCTATGAAATAATATTGATGATTCTTTGAAATCTTAAGTAAGTATTAAGCCGTATTTCATTTTGAAAATATTGATTCCTAAATATTTTGAACTATTTTGAGTGAAGAATCGTGCATTTGCGTTAACAATTGTGTAAGATCGTGTAACGTGTAGAATCGTGAACGTGAAAGATCGTTCGTGTAACAGGTTTAATCGTGCGTTAATCGTGCGGAATCGTTCGTGTAACGTGATCGTTCGTGTAAGTTGTCAACAATAACGTTCCAGCCACTGTATATTGCTAATAAACTAAATTTATAAGCAATTCTAAATATGACATTTAAATTTCCATATAATATATAAATAAGGAACAAGAAACATCACACTTTGTAATGCAGTTAAACTTCATTATCTTAGACTTAACAAAGCCAAAAAACTTTGTATCAAAGGATTTGGGACACTGAATTTAAAATGCAAACAATACTTCTGCCTCACATTGGATATCCATGTTTTACTGTATCTAGTATAGCTAACCTGACAGCTGCAGACATCACACTCAGACTTTCTCCAGGTGGCGCCCTCTGGTTCCTCTCTGGCGTCCTCCGTCACACAACCTGAAATAAAGTTGTAACAGGTGAGGAGAAAATGCAGTGGACCAGACCAGGATTCGAACCCGGGCCCCCTGAAACTCAAATCAGGTGCTCTACCAACTTAGCTATCTGATCACTGGGGATTGAACCCGGCTGACTGCCACAAAGTCAACAGTTAACATTACACACCTTTGAATGAATTAGAAGCTGGGTAAAATATTACCTTAATTTACCTGTATGAAATCTCACCTGAGCAAACAACAGGTGCCCCTGTGACCCCATTATACCATTCAATGGAGCAGTCTCCACAAGTGTTGATTCTACATACAGCATCTGGGATACCTTCAGCATGTAATAGCATAGGTACTCTTACTTAGAGATACAAATACTTGTATTTGAAGCTACTGGAACCATAATTAAGCTTAATTAAGATGGATGGTTTACCTGGACACCTCCTCTGTCTACACAGGTCTGGTCTACAGGTGACTGGAAACTGTCCAAATGGACAGCCACTGAAGTAGTTCGTCACAAAACACAACCTGTCAATTAGATGGAAATCATACTTAGTGTTAGATGCATACAATAATCAAGAAGATCTGACGTAGACACTTTATATTGCATTACTGACAAGATCTATGTCTAAGTAACAAAACTCTAATATACAGAACATATAGATCTGTATATGTGATGTTTTACCTTTGATCTGGAGGAACAGGAAGCCATACACTATGTTCTGTAACACTGGATGACCTTGGAATAAAGGTCGGGTCATATCTGTGGTCTTCTCTCAGCTGCTTCTCCAATCTTTTAATTATTATCACCTGACCACCACGATTTAACCAGTTCACTGTATACATCCAGGATGGCATGAAGGTCACATAAGGACAGAGGCGATAGATATCTAGTATTGGAGTTTTATCTAGCTTTTCTAGCTCTAGTTCCACCCAGCGCTTAATCACCATGTATACAGGTCCAAGGTAGAAGTTGTTACAGAAATATCTATCAAGGCCCCGAGAGTCAAACCCAAAAACGTCATAACCCTCCCTGTCATAACCATATTTGTTAAAACCAAAAATGTTGTAACCAAACTTGTTAATGGCTGTTTTATCCGCATCTGGGTTCCAGGTTCCGTTCCTGTTAAATCCGTATGGGGTGACTCCATTGATGTCAAATCCGTACCTGTCATAGCCCCATCGGTCGTAACCCTTACTGTCAAACCCGTCAAGGTTGTACATGTCAATGTAGAATCCATAACGATCAAATCCAGTGACATCAAATCCCTGCCTATTGAACCCACCCCTGTCATATCCTTGTATGCTAAAGATACCTCTTGAATCCTTGGTCCCATTCCTATCAAATCCATCAATATTAAACCCATCCTTATCATAACCCTCTCTGTCCAAGCCGTGTCTATCATAACCCTCAGCATCATAACCATACCTTGGCAAGGTTATATTACAAAGTGTGGTGAAAGTCAAGGGGACATAATTCACACACATCTGAATGGATGAATACATCACATCATCTGGGGCGAGTTTAAACGGTTCCATGGGTTTGTATCTCAGTTTGACTGGATAGCTACCGGTCCAATCAGAATGCTTCTTCTGCCACAGAGTCCACAATTTATCAATGTAAGCTACAGTTGAGAGGAAAACTGGGTCATAGGGACTCAAATCAGAGTACATATGCCCTCCGACATAACTCTGCACAGCTGCAAGCATGATCTCCATCTGTAATCTAAAGTTTGTGTAAGATGGATCGTTCAAGGCAAGCTGAACATTGATGGCATCAGGGAAAGTCACACTGTTGTTAAACTGTCGCCTCAGACATGGTATCCAGTAGGGAGGGTAGTAATCCTTAAAATTATGATAGGGGACACACCCACTCTGCCC